TGGGACGATAGCGGTGCAGCGAGGGAGGCCCACTGAGGGGCCACGCTCCTCGAGGTGATCTTCAAATAGAATCTACATCTACATTAGCAGTAGCTGTGTGATCAGCTTTAATCACTTTACCACCAAATACAACTGACCACAGACAAACACACATGACCATTCAAAAGATGGCAGCAGTGCATTGTGGGAGGCATTGGTCAATAATATATTTATTATACCACTAAACTCACTCAGCTTTTTTCCACTTTAACCTTCAGTTGAAGAAAACTGTGATGTTGTTTTCATGATCATGAAAATAAACTCTTATTACTGGGTGAAATAGTTGACCACACCGGAGTAGCTAAAAGCAACCTCCAGGTGGCAGCAGCTGGTTAAAATCACTTGGCTCCAAAGAAAACTTGATAAGTACCAAATTAAACAAATGCAAAGAAAGGTCCATTCTGTGGAGCACCTGTTGAAGAGATGACAAGTTCCTGTGGCTGTAACAAACCCACATTCCAGTAATAGCGCCCTCTGGTTTGTTTTCCTTGGATGACTCCTCTCCCCTGGGTGAGGAGCCTGGAAATTCACAAGGGTGAGAGAAATGATTGATGTCTCGTGCTGCAGCTGAGGGAAAGTGGAGGGAGGTGGTGTAAACACAAAGATACAATACTGCCCTCTGTTGGTGGATAAGGATTACAAACAAAGGCAGCAACGTAAATCAATGTTAAACCTGATTTATTTAAGAGCGGTCGTCTGGTGGACATGTACTTATATATATGTATGTACATATATATATGGTCTGGTGGACATGTACTTATATTTATATATGTATGTATATATATTTTTGGCAGTCATTAGCATAAAGCTATATTTTAATAGAAATTTGCTGTGATAAGTTAATATAAACTTTTCTAAACTAGTATTATTTAACTTTGACCTGTCATAAACATATACATTATAGAGCAAAACATGTTTAAAAAATAAAATGTTACATTCAAAACAGTAAATGTACATGTAAGGTGTAGGTTGAACTAATTTGACCTTAAATTGTCCACGAAATCTGAACATCGTAGAAACACCTGTAGAGGGCAGAGTTGTTTCAATACGTTGTGATGTCGCCACCTTCTGGAGACTCCAGGTCTTTGTAATCCTGTTGTAGTCCTGTCTAATCACAAGAACAATCTGTGGAAATCAGACGACGTCAAAAGCCTTATCCACGCAGACGTGCTTTCTTTTGGATTCTCCGCTCGTCAGCTGATCCTTATCGTAGCTGTCGCATCTGGGGGGGTGGTGGTGGTTAATCTCTGTGATGATTCCTTCCAAAGGGGGGGGTTCCATTATAATTCCCATTGACTGGTTCTCTGTAATCCGTACGCACATGTGCGTCTCTTTGTGCCCAGGAAGCAGTAGGAAAAGAAAAAATGTGGAGGAGGAAAAGGAAGTTAGACAGCCACAGAAAAGTTGATTCAAATGTATCAGACACCTGGCCCGCAGCCTTGGCTCGGCCCAGGAGTTTTCCCCAGACTGTGGGCCAGCAAACATGAAACAGACGAAGCAGCAGCAGCAGCGCGGTTGTGTTGAAAACTGAGCTGAGTTGAGTTGTGTTTCACAGCAGATGTATTGGATTTAAAGAATCAAACTGTGTGTTGTCACTGATGTTGTCGTTCTGTGGTTTAACTCCAGCAGACTTCCTGAGGTTTTTTTTATTGAAGTGAAATATAAATGAATGTGTAAAGTGATGAAAGGTTTTGGGTTCTGTGTAAAAATGTACGCAGAAATTCCACATAAACTGGGAATGATACGTCCACAGAGGAAAACAGAAAACATCTGTGGCACACATGTGGGAGCAGCAGTGGGAGGTCACTGTAGGTCACTGTAGGTCACTGCAGGTCACTGTAGGTCACTGCATGTCACTGTGTTGTTCCAGAATCTCTCAATTTTTCTGTTTTACAGTTGTGATGGTAGTGAAGGTTTCAACTTTGGGTCAGATGTCAGGTTTGTTTCAGGACAGCAAGTCAGTCTGTGACTGAGGAGCTGAGTGACATATTTGGCCAATGCATTATGGGAGACTGTAATGATGAAACTCTATGAAGCTAAATTTTCATTTGTACCTTTGTATCTTTTTCTTAACACTTTTCTATATTAATAATTCCATCATTTGGATTAGTCACAAATCAAAACAGGTGAGAAACACTGCCCTCTACCTGCTGTAGTTTGGTTTTGGTTCCAGCAATAGACAGAAAAACAATAGGAATGTATGTATAGTATATATTTATATACAGTATGTATATGTGCATATATGTATGTGTGACATCTATATAAAATGTTGTTTTAAATTGATGTATTTTCTTGATTGTGTTTAATCACATATATGTATACACACATACAAACATCTGTGTGAGACAAAAATGATTCGTGTGTTTTTTTGTTTTTTTTAAAAAAAACACGAATCATTATCTCTTGTTGTGATTATAGCAGTGAGCTGCTGCAGTAGAGAACAGGACCTGCAGGCTGGATTTGCATAAATCCACCAGCATCTGTGAGTGTGGTGGGGGGGGGGGCTGTAGTCCTCGATCAGCCTCTAATTGTATTCGTTCAGCTCTTCTTTTCTTTTCTTACATAATCAAAGAGGAAGACGAGTCGGACACTTGATTATTTTTGTCCTGTTGCAGGTAACATTTATCTGAAGAGAGTCGACACTTGACTCTGTTACCTGGCAACCATAGAAACAGATGCTGATTAGGTTTAATTCAAAGAGGAAGTGGAGATTAAAACCATAAATAAACAACAAAGAGTTGATGTCAACTAGCAGCCCAACACATGAGAATTTATGTTTCCTTTTATTTAATAATGGCTTTTTAAAAAAGTTTTTAAAAATAAACATACCATAATTTTTCCCTATTGTGTTCTGAGCCACGGATACTATGCAGTAATATTACAGTAAAAATACTTTTTTTTAATCTTATTGGTTTCTTTCTGCTGCGTTTAAGAGGAAAAATGTTTTTGCAGCTGCATTACCCCATATATCCACCAGGTGGAGGTCTTCGCTCAACAAACAGACACAGTTGTCATACATTGTCCTACAGAGACTGATAAAAACACAACACCTACAAACACAGTGGTTAAATTTGCTGGATTTTATGACGTCATCTTTCGTTATAACCACATATGTTAAACTCGAGGCCTGTGGGCTTTAATCCAGCCCACCATGTCATTTTACGTGGCCCACCAGAGGGTAACATGTCTACAGGATAGAGCGGTGATCATCAACTGGTGGCTCGCGGTCCAAATCTTCCTCATCTTACTTTGTTTGATTAAAGTTTTGAGTTGGTACAGGATATACAGAGTACATGTTGAGTTTCTTCACTGCTTCATTTGTTAGAATGAGAATCTGTGACATGGCAGCAGCTGTAGATGAATGCAGTAGGACGTCTCTCTCTGTGGTGCTAATTTACCCCCCCGCCCCCACACACACACACACACACAGCTGAGGCTTTATCTCAGTGAAAGGTTTGTTCAAATGTTGCATCCTGTTTCATTTTGTCAGATGAAAGTGTTTCCTTTGATCCTGCTCTGCTCGTTGAGGCCTCGGATCAAACATACCTGTGATCAAAAGAGTTAAAAGAGGAAACACTCTGCAGTTTTTTTTTTGTTGTTTTTTTTTTTTTTGGACACCGTTCTCTCACCTGTCGTCTTCCCATGATAGTAGAAATGACCTTTGACCCTTAGGTTGGTATGGTTGTTTCATGAAGCGGTCGACAACGATATAAGAGACGTAACGACAAAGTGATGCTCGACTCAGGATTATATGGAATAAAATTTTATTATAATCCAGAAGGTACAGAATCAGGAACCAAAAACTGATTTAAAAAAAAAACAGCACTTTAATCTGCATTTGTTTCAATGTTGTTTTTTTTTATTATTATTATTTAATCACTATTATTTCTGGAATATATTGGATTAGATTATCTTAAACTTTATTGCTCCCAGTAAAACAAGAATATTTTAATTTCTGAGAGATGATAAGAACAAAGAAATATAATAATAATAATAATAAAAATGTACAGTATTGTACTACTACAGTATAGTGTGCATTATTATCTTATTATTGTCATTATCTCCTCAAAATGATGAAGTCGTTCTGATTGTGATTCTGATTTTTCTCTCGTTGTTCTTGACATTGAAGGGTTAAATGAGGCCGAGCCGTGTGGTATTTATAGACTAACCACGTCCATTTTTAGCTAAATAGAAGGATCAGACAGTGAAGGGTCAGCGCAACTTTAGCAACAAGTAATTGGATTAAAGCTGAAGATTTGTTTTTCAGTTTACAGTTGAGACCTTTACCTGTGGTGATGATATTTTCTGTTCTGTTCTCAGGTGGACTTTTTATAAAATCAGGCTTTATGTTGTTGTTTTCAAGGTCAAAGGTCACGATATTTTCTCTGGTATGAAGTTACAGATACTGTGTTTATAGGACTGCATCATAAAGACCCTTTTTTTGGATTTTGATATTATTTTATTTTACAGTGATTTATTTATACATGTTCACATTTTCCATTCCTGGAAACACACCTGAAAAAAAGTCTACACTCGTAGGACAGACACACTGCAGACTTTCAGGCTTTTCAGACTGTATTATATATATATATATTTATATTTATAGCTGGAAACACACCTGAAAAATTATTTGGCAGCACTGTCATGTGAAGGAATTTGATATTTATATAAGCTCCTTATTTTCACTTATATTTACTTCACTCTTCATTGATGTCGATGACTGTTCAGTTCCAGACCGTGGGTCAGTACCGTGGGTCAGTACCGTGGGTCAGTACCGTGTCTGTCCAGTGTTGTTCACTGACCAGATTAGTCACAAACACCAGTATAGTTGTTACCTACACGCAGTCTACCCTACAGCACCCCTAGTGACTGGATCATTGATTAGTTTTTCCATTGGTTGGCTCTCTTGTCAGTCTGTGATCCTACTCGCTGGTTCGTTTTAACCCCCCCCCCCCCCATCTTCCTCCCTCCCCCCAAAAAAATTACGCAGCGCGGCTAACCGTTGTTTAGTCTGCAGCCGCAGCATCGTGTCGCAGCGTCCCGGGAGACGCTGTCAGAGCATCTGCTGGAAACAAACCTTCACCTTGACAATCGGCTCCAGCCTTTTCTCAGCAGGGCAGTGGAGGATTCAACACATGGACTGAATAAACGCCTAAATGGAGTTTCCCTCGTGGTCGTGACTGTTCCACCGCCTCTCACCCTGCAGAAGATCCTGCGCTAAAGTTGCCGCAGCATCCACGCACTCCGTCTTCTGCAGACATGGGCACCGTCCTCTCCATATCTCCGGCGACAAAGAAGGCGTCCATCATGGACGCCGAAGTCGCAGGAGACGGGCTGAAAAACGACAAAAGTCTGAAGCGTCACTCGATGTTCGTCTCCCTGTCCTGGAAGAAGCTCGTGGCCAATTCGGCCAAGAAGAGTGCCAAGAAAGTGACGCCCAACCCACCGGTCATCCGCGAGCTGCCGTCCAGCCAGGTGGCGCAGCTCAACTGTGAAAACATCCGGAAGACGCACCAGGCCGAGGAGAAAAAACCCAAGGCTCCTATCCCAGTACCGGTGCCCACCGTGCCCACGCAGAACAATGAGACCGTGGCCCAGAGCGGAAAGCCCCCTGCGGCGCACAAGCAGCCCAGCAGCCTGTCCCTGCTGTCCCCCCGGCGGATAGTCATCCAGGCTTCCACCGGGGAGCTGCTGCGCTGTCTGGGGGACTTCATGTGCCGCAGGTGTTACAAACTGAAAGAGTTAAACAGCGGGGAGGTCATTCTCTGGTTCCGAAACATAGACCGGACTCTGTTGATCCAGGGTTGGCAGGACCAGGGTTTCATCACCCCGGCCAACGTGGTGTTCGTGTACCTGCTGTGCGAGGACAGCATCGTGGACAGCATCGACAGCCCGGCCGAGCTGCAGGGCACGTTTCAGACTTGTCTCTACCTCGCCTACTCCTACATGGGCAACGAGATCTCCTACCCGCTGAAGCCCTTCATGAACGACACGAACAAGGACGTTTTCTGGGAGACGTCTCTCCGCATCATCAACAGGATGAGTGCCAAAATGCTGCAGCTCAACGCGGACCCGCACTTTTTCACCGAGGTCTTTCAGGACCTGAAGAACCAGCGAGACACCAGCGAGGCGAACCTGGACCGCTGACAGGGACTCGAACCAGAACCCGGGTGGCTTTAAACATATTAAGAATCATTTGACACTGGTTTTAGATGAAGTGGCGTCGACGTCTCATCACGATCAAACACCTGAGTGTGGGCTTTAGGTACAGCTACAGTGGCTACAGATTTCACAAATGCATGCCAGTGATTCATTCACAACCCCCCCCACATCCCCCCCCCCCTTTTATTTTCATGCCGTGGACTGACATTGTGTTAGAATAACTCAGTTCCTTCCGTGCTGAGGTGAGTGGATGTCGCATGAAGGCAGGACCAGAATAGACAAGTGTCGGCGAGAAGTGAGGAGGTGGAGCTGTCCGAGGTGCTGACCTGTGCAACCGCGTATTCCCTCTCTCTCTCCCCCTCTCTCCCCCACAGCCGCTGTCCCTCCCCTGTCTCTTTTCCACAACAGAGCCTGGAGTGGCTTATCAGGAACTCGGACGCGGTCCTTCATTTTTAGCCCCTAAGCTCGTAACAACCTGGTGAAGCAGTATTGGACTGGAGTAAACACGTACAAGTACTGCGCTGTATTCAGGTCTCAGGCCGATAATTACCACAGTGTACACGCAACAAATGCCACAGGCATGACGACCCCCTCCCTCCCTCCCTCCCCACGGGACAGAACACTTCACCTGTATGATTGTAGATATTTCTCTGTAGTTTTTTGTTTGTTGTTGTTTTATTCGTTGTTTGCGTAAATATATATTTAAAATCCGTGCTGTGACGGGAACACTCCGCCAGGGGTCAGCCACACTCACTTGACAATTGTGAAAGTTGTAACTTATTGAATGTAATAAACTGCACTAAGTTCGCCCGTGGATGGTTCCAGAACGTCCACCGCTCTCATCGGGAGGCCTCCGTCGTGTTAAATACGTTTGACATACACACTGACCTCTGGGATGTATTGTTCAGCAACATATCTCAGAGGTCACTCGACTGTGGTGCCAACCCTGAGATGTTGAAACCTTCTCTCCCCGAGGCTGTTGTTTACATATTATATCTGTTGAATCTGTTTGTTCTTATTTGTCATCTGCCTGCTGTGACAGTGGCTGCTGCTTTTGACGTGTTTTGACGTGTTTTGACCGCGCTCCCAGCTTAGTCAAATTTAGCGCTTTAATTAATGCTGCGATATTTTTGCCCGGGTTTCGTGAACGTGCACTTTGATTTAATCTGCCGGATTGAAACCTCCATCACCCAATGATGTAAATACTGAATGTAACTCGTTAGTAACCCGTTTGTAACCGCTTTTTTGCACACGTGGCGTCGCAGGGTTTTTTTTTTTTTGTTTGTTTGTTTTTTTTGCTCTATAAGCTAAGAAGTGAATTTGCTCCGGCTCTGAAACCAAACCCGTAGGGCAAATGTGACAGTTAGCGTTCAGTATTACGACCGTCGTGACGTCGTGACGTGACCATGTAGTTCACACCGTGGAATCATCATATGCTGCTATTATTTTTGCACAGCGCTGATCAAACCCTCGATGTTTTTGCACAGTGGTGACATTTTGGCAGCGCGTTATCGGTCGGTAACGGGCCTCGCCGTAGGACGATCACGTGTGACTTTGGCTCTTTGGTACAGTTGACTTTAACATGTTCTAAAGATGATTGTGTTTCACAGCAGTTTAAATATTGATCAATGCCCATTGTTGTGATTGTTTATGGTGACGATGATGAAATAAATCCAAACTTGTGTAGAACATTTGGTCTGTGTTATTTTAGTCCTAATGCTGACTGTGCAAACACACACACACACACACACACACGGGACCATTGTTTGTTCAAACAACAACAGTCCACCTCAGCAGTAATATCATGAACAGCGTCTTATCAATGATCCTCCCACTAATCCTCCTGTTAACTGGACCCTGGAGACAAACGTATGTAACTGGAATAATTCCATAACAATCCACCGGGGGTTGCCATGAGACTTTGGCTCCTGAGAATTCACTGATTTCCACCGAACACATCAGCTGTGGATCTTCCGGAAGCCCCCGTCCTCACCCCCCCTCCCCGTCCTCACCGGGCCGTGGACAGATAAACAAATGGCTAATCTGTAACCAGCAGCAGCAGGAGCCCACGGGCTGGACTGAGCTGCGGCTGAATTAGCTGTGGTGCACGGTGAGCACGGAGCCCAGCCGGCTGACACACATAAAGGGTATTTTTAGTGTCATAGATTCTTCTTATTGAGGCCACATTGAGAAATGGAACAGAGAGGACTAAACAGGAGCAGGATGAAGGGACAGGATGAGGAGGGAAGAACAAAACAAAAACAAACCAAAAACAGAGTAATCTATTTCCCCCTGGTGTGATGCAGCGGTGTCACTGCAGGGTTCTTTCCAGAAGGTTCCCTGCAGCTCAGAGAAGGATCGTGTTTATACTGTAGGAGACCACGGTGGTTCTGCACAGACAAGTCGATTCTACTCCTTTTTATGAATAAGCCACATGGACTGAAGGGTTCTGTGTGTGATTGGTTAGAATCTGCTGCAGTCTTCTAAC